GACAGTTGAGAGTCATATGAATATGAATTTGAATGAATGCTTTGAATGCCTCACAAACTGTTGCCAAACATCACTCCAATCACTCCATTCACTCGGCTTTGCATTCAATTGGATTTGATTTACATTTGATTTACATTTGCATTACATTTGCATTCACTTGACATTGACTTCAGCTTTCATTGCCTTCACTGTCGACCACACTATGGACTCGACGGACAACGGATTACAGGAATGGCTGCTGAAGGAGGACAACGAGTCGATCACCGATGACGTGGAGGACATGCCACAGATGTGAGTGTTTTTAATGGTTGTGGCGTTGAGTGTCAAGACTGACGGTGTGTGGGATGTGTTGATGTGATGATAGGTTTGGTGGCGAAGTGGGCGCAGACGTATCGGCGGACACTCGGGCGACGGTCGAGAAGATGACAGCCGTGTGGCTACAGATGGGACTCAACACCACAGAAATGGTGGACCGGATGAAAGAGATGCGCGAAATCCACGCGACGGCCAATCGGAACGCCCTGAAGACGGAGTCGTCGACACTCCAGAGACTCATTGAATACAATGAGAGGAAACTTCAGGAAATCAATATCATTCTCGCGGATCTGACACTCCCGTCGTTTACGGCGCCCACCTTTGTGTCACTGAAACAAACCGGAAGAATACTGGTCTACAAACACAACGAATTGGAGGCTCTGAAGAGGGAACGACTGAACCAATTGACGCAATTGAAGTCCAAGAGAGACCGACTGCTGAAGATGATGGCCGCGAAGGCCAAGGAGTTCAATACCGCCACTAATATTCCCAGCGATGAAGAGCTCATGCATTTGCAGAGCTATGTCTCGGATCTGACGAAAGAGCGCTCAAAACGATTCAATAAATACCAGTCTTTGAAGAAAATCATTGAAGAGCTGTTCGCAGAACTCGAACGCGAAGTGAAGTCAGACTTCGAGAAACACCTCTTATTCGACGAATTGGAAGACTTTGTTCTCTCCGACGATCACATGAAGAGATTGGTGGCACTCCACGCAGAGCTCGAGTCATGTTATCAACAAAACAACGATAAGAGGAAACAGATGGAGAAGCGATTGGAATCGCTATGGAATAAACTGGAGGTCACGCAGAGCTATAGAGATGCCTTCTATCGCAACAAAAACGGATGCAAACCATCAGTTTTGGCGCTTCTCGAGGAAGAGGTGACTAAATACGAAGAACTGAAGCGACAAAATCTGGAACTCTTTGTACGGAAAGTGCGCAAAGAACTCGAGGAATGGTATGATAAGTGCTACACATCTGATGATCTAAGAGACAAATTCCAGGCGTTTTTGGATTCGACTGAATTTACAGAAGAACTGCTCGAATGTCACGAAAACGAATTGCAAAGAATTCAGACACACTTCCAGGAGTGCGAAGAGATGTTCGATAAGCTGGAGGAATGGCATAACCATTGGGACAGATATAAAGAGCTCGAGAACAAAGCCAATGATCCCAATCGGTTCAACAACAGAGGCGGCGCTCTTTTGGCTGAAGAGCGCGAGAAAAACGCGATTAAAAAAAAGTTACCAAAAATTGAAAACATTTTGAAGAAATTCAGTGAAGAACGACACCAACAGAAGTCTGAATACTTCCAAGTGTTTGGTATTCCTGTGAAGCAGTACTTAGAGAACCAAAAGATGGAATACCAGGACCTGAAGGAGAACGAGAAGAAGGAGAGACAACGTCTCAAACAGATGGAGAAGAATGGACTCACGAAAGGTCTCAAATCGACGCCTGTCTGTGGGATTGTTGTCCGCAAGACTCCCGTTAAGAGAGCCTTCACTCCGCTCTCGGAAGGACCTAACGGTGACTCCAGTAGCAAAGTGCGCCGAATGGGCGCCCCTTTGACGCCATCGCGTATTAATAATGACATAAACAGTCACAACAAGAGACCAGTTGTCGGCCAAAAACCCGTTCCCAGAGCCCGCGCCCGCAATCTCGAGACACAGATGAACCACATGTTGGAAAACAATATCGAGACCTCTGTCCTCAGCATCAATGAAGACCAGTTTCAGGTGAGTCCGCATTGAATCTAATGTGTGAATAATGGTCTCTTCGTTGTCATCTTATCGTTTAGGCGCCGCTCACAGAGAGGGATAACGCGAACTCCACTTTCATTAGTTGTTCGCAGAGACCACTAACGCCTGACCGCAGGAATATCACCAAAAGGCGTGAATTCAAAGACATGCCAATGACTCGCCGGATGTCTCGCAGTTGCAACGACTTGTCCGAAGCCATCACCAAAAAGATGCAAATAAGTAATACCAGACATTTGGCGACTGCCAGAAGCACACCCTCATCACCACAACCTAAGAGCTCGTATGGCATAACTCCGAGTCGATTACCGCGTATAGGAGTTGTACAGCGAAAGCGACCCTTTTTGGTCTGATTTAAAGCCCATTCCTATTGATTGATTGCTTTTCTTATAAATTCTTGCATTTCATTGTCTCTTAATTATAACCCATTTTATATAATTATCGCTATTTTATCCTCTTTTTTATGAAATGTTTCAATTATTTTATCAACTTTTTTGGGTTTTGCTATAATTTTATTTCTTAAAGTAATTATCATTTTGTTTATAAATAAGCTTTAAATGAAAATATAGATTGCATTCAAATATATGTATTATTTGTATTAAGAATATTGTTTTGAATATACAGTCATTGTATCACTAAATATATTATATCCCAAAATATATTCATTTAATTGATTCAATCAACTGATATTGACTTTAAGCACAACTGTCCGGTGGAGGGCATGGATTGGCGGTCACTATAATGCAGATAATTATTGTGAATACAGTAATCAAATCATTGCCTAAAGGCTGGCATTTGTGGCGATTGTCAGTCCAATAGAGGTCTCTGAAGCACTCAATCGTTTCATACGTTTTGTCTCAATGTTTACAAACTGTCAGTCAGTCTGTTGTCTGTTATAGACATCACTCGTATTGATACCATTGTTGCCATTCATCCACTCGTTGACAGACACTGACATTCACTGCAATCCACACCACTATGACGTCCACTCCAAGAAGTGCTGCCGAGGAGTCCCTCAACGGTATGTGCGATCATATTATCTCATTATTGTGTCCAACAGTACACGCATTCATAACAAGTGATGTCATGTGACGTGACTTTGTTTACCACTCTTTGAATCAATGGTCACATCTTTGTTTACAAATGTCGTACACTCTAACCATTGTATGAATGGTTGGGTGACATACAGGTGCTGATTATGACCCAAACCTAAGGCAGTGGTGAACCCAAAGCATTTGAGAGTAAACTACGCATTAGTGCAGCGATTGTCTGATTGTCACTCATTTGATGACTAATGACATGATTAATGCAATCAATGTTGCCATCAATGCATCAAACTATACATCACTTGATGTCTGTGTCCATCAAAATGATGACAATCTATGCATTCATTTATCCAATATTTAAATTGCTTTTATTTTCACACCATATGTGCAAATAGTCCTATAAATGGGTCGTTCACTTCGTACGGACGACCGATTAGGGCTTAATCGCAGGCAATATAGTGTTGAATACAGTATAAGGGAAAGGGATGTCACTCTAAATATGATGCACTCATAAGTCTAACATTAAACATAAATTGATTGATTTGAATGGAAAGCAAAGCAACAAATAGTGACAGATATATGAAGTGATTACTAATATATACTCAATGTATTGGTTATACAATTGACGCTACATTTTGTATTAGCACCTGGACCATTATATGCACATTATATACAGTACAGTATCGTATATAAAGCTATTTATAGAGAATATCTAATTAGTAGATATAGAAAATGATTGGTTAGAAATGAGTGAATGGGTAGAATGAGCATGGTAACATTAGTGGTAACATTGGTGGTAACATTGGTAACATTGGTGGTAACATACGTTGATAATGATATGATGTACTGAATAGAGTCGTGGGTGGAAGTGGTTGGCAGTCAGTCGACGGCAACTCCGGTTCATCTGTTGTCTCGAAGTGGAATCCACAGCGGATTCCATAGTCTGGAGAGACTTCTATGGGAGGCTCAGAAAGAGAGCAATCAGTCATCGGTGGGCGGAAGCGCTCGCAATTCGCATAGCATTAGCCCGAAGAGCGCTCAAAGCCCTGTCTTTCCCATCGAGTCGTTATCACCGAACGAATCCATATTCTGCAAAGTGTGTCAACCATTGAAGTATTATTTGATTTATAAATACTATATATAAATGCTTTCATTTCAGGAGGAATTGCTTGAGAGGAGCCGACAGTTGAGCACCGATTGGATATGGGATTGGAGTACAAGAGATCAGTTGCCAAAGTATGAAGTCATTTGTGGATCTCATGAATGAAATAGTAATTGACTGTTGAATGCCTGACAGGGAGTGGAGTGTGAATGAGATGCAGCCGTTGAGGAAGACTCGGCTGAGTTTGCGTCAGTGGGCCATAAGACGCGGCATATTCTCCAAAGAGGTTCTCTCTCTACTACTGCTCACCAATATATTGTCTCTCATTCTCGGCGCAGGCATTGGTTACACGATTCTCGTCCGCAGGACTATATAGAGAGTCCGCTAAATGATGTGTTTGTCTTGATATCATTCATATACTGTAATGGATTGGCATTTAATGTATTTCATATACAGTACAGTACAGTAAATACCGTACAAATAGATTTGTGAGACTATATCTCAACTTTATATTAGTTTCCAATAGTTTGTAATATTGTTGACGAATAGAGGAGAGAGAACTCAAACTCAAATGTCGTTCAATTGATTGTCAATTATATTAATTGTCATATATTTCATACAATAACTGATGTTTTGTTCATATTTAATGAATGCTCTTATGTATGGTATTAACTGATCCGACCCTTTGTGCACTGAATATCTGTTCACAACTAACTATAGATTAGTTTCTAAACTTATATATAATATTTAATATAATTTATAATATAATCAGTGATCCAGTTATAAGTCATAGTAAGTGCCTGTCTGTGAAGAGTTAGTATATTTTGCATCCATTTCCACCCCGAATGCAGTTTCCCATACAAATAGCTTCAATTCTTTTGCCCTCCGATTCATACATTTGTCAAAATTAATGTTTTCTATAATTTTGTAAGAATTAAACATTTTGTAAATATATTGGGATATTTGGTGTATTTAACGATATATTTATGTTTTTGTATATTTGATTATTCATTGAATAAATGTCTTATAACCATAAGTGTTGTCGGATGAGTCAAACAAACTCTTGTTTGTTGTCTGTTGTGGTAACCGTTGGATACAATTGACACTCACTTTACATCGAATTATAACAAATAAGACACAGAATCGCGTGAATATTAGTGGCAATACTAGTGCTACCATACGATCAATACATCAATTCTGTATTCTTTTCAATTATGGTAATTATCACCAAATCTATCATCAAATGGACACTGTTTGGCAAACTTTGCTTTCTTTTACTTTAAGGGATTGTTAGCTCTTCTGAGAAAATTGAAGTCAACTCCGAATAGAGAACTAAGAATTCTTCTTCTGGGTCTCGATAATGTCAGTCAAACACATTGCCAGCACTTCTTTCGCTTCATATTTCATTCATTTCTCTATATTTGAATCCAAAGGCAGGAAAGACAACGATTCTCAAGAAGATGGCCTCTGAAGACGTGACACATATAACTCCGACTCAGGTATTCATTTGTAGTGATCTTGAATGAAAAACGCGTTTAATTTGTGGGGGTTTAGGGCTTTAATATAAAGAGCGTTCAATCGGTTGGCTTTAAGCTGAATGTTTGGGATATCGGGGGTAAGGGTTTACAAATGTATTGGTGTTAAGGAATATCATAAAACTACCCTAAATTAGGTCAGAGAAAGATAAGGCCGTATTGGCGTAATTACTTCGACAACACTGACGTTCTGGTCGGTCACACCACCACTTATAACACTTCGACCACTAATTGTCTATTCCTTAGATTTATGTCATCGACAGCGCAGACAAAAAGAGATTCGAAGAAACATCAGTGGTATTCATCACTTCATTACTAACTTATCGTTTATTTAACTCTTTAATACAAACTCAGGAATTAAATGAATTGTTGAGTGAAGAGAAACTTATAGGCGTTCCTATACTGGTCTACGCCAACAAACAGGATCTGTTCAATGCCTCCCCGGCCAGTGAACTGGCGGAGGGCTTGCATTTGATGGCCATAAGAGACAGGACGTGGCAAATACAGCCCTGTTCTGCCATTTCGGCCGAAGGACTCAAGGTTTGGCTATTTATGTAATCAATTGTCCAATAAATGTGTGTATAATATATGTTGCATAGGAGGGCTTGGAGTGGGCGTGTAAGAACATCAAGACTATCACTAAATAAAGGTCTCAATTGTGAACAATTGATAACATCTTTCAAACACATCTTTAATTACTATTTAATTATTAATTAACAATAAATTACTAAATAAAATGACTCATCAATTATATGATTAAGTATTTGTTTGAATAAAAGCTAATATTAAGTATAGATAGTTGCGGACAAATCAAACCAAACTAGCGATGACTGCGTGAGTGAAGTCCGTGTTGGAGGCATATCCGCCCAAATCTCTTGTCCTCACTTTTCCCGATGCGAGCACTTTCTCGAGAGCCGCTTGGATTTGATTGGCGTATTCGTGGAGATTGACGTGTCGCAACATTTTGATGCCACACAACAGCATAGCCGTCGGGTTCGCTATATTCTTGCCGACCGCCTCTCCAAACGTATGACGAGCTCCCGGTTCATAGATCACGCATTCGGAGCTATAGCTCGCACCGGGAACTATACCCGCGCCGCCCACCAGACCAGATGCTAAGTTATCGACTATATTGCCGTAGAGGTTAGGCATAACCTGTTGACCAACACATAGACATTAATGAATTATGTGCACAATTGGTGGCATAATGTGTGACAAACCATAACATCGAAACGGTTGGGATGTGACACTAATTGCATGCATGTGTTGTCGATAATCATAGACTCGAACTCTATTTTGGGGTACAATTGAGAGATCTGTTGGCATGTCTTGAGGAAGAGTCCGTCTCCGAGTTTCATGATATTTGCCTTATGAACGACCGTTACTTTCTTGCGGTTGTGTTTAGTCGCGTAATCGAAAGCGAATTTCGCGATTCGTCTCGACTTCTCTTCGGTTATGATTTTCAGGCATTCAATCACTCCGTGGACTGACTCGTGCTCGAGAGCGCTGTACTCGCCTTCCGTCTGCTCACGAATCACAAAGAAATCCAAATCTTCGTACTTTGTCTTAATCCCTGGCAATGTCTTGATGTGCACCACATTAGCGAACAGATCCAGTTGTCGTCTGATCTTCATATTAAGACTCTGGAGTTCGCCGGCAGTCGAGCTGAAAGGTGTCGACAAAATGCCTTTCAATGCAATGCCATTGCGTTGTAATGAGTCGATCACTGCGTCCACCGAAACGCTCAGAGATGGGTAGATCTCACTGCAAGACACCACACATCACATCACTATCACTACCACTACCACTACATCTACTACTGGTCTGACTCGCAAACAAACCTCAGGAACATCTCCTCGAACTCAATCGGGACACTGATGGCTGAGAAGATCTCTTTAACTGAAGCCATGAGCTCTGGTCCGACACCATCACCGGGAATCAGAGTGCACTTGATCTTGGATTCAGTCAAAGAGTCCGGTTCCGAGGCTTTCAATTGTTGACACCAATGGCTCGACACCGATAGTCCTCGACATCCAATGGCCCGACCACTCCATGTCTGTAACACACCATATCATTAGATCCACTAACCATTCAACAAAACACTCCTGAGTCTAAGCATTACTTTTGTGGTCACACTTCTGGACACCACTGACACCAATGATCGGCACAAAGATAACGACATTTGACTTAATTTATTGTATGCTATACTGTACTGACTGTACTGTACTGTACTGTACTGTACTAGGTCTATTAAATGAATAACAACTAAAAATAACAACAATTATATATATAAAGTATTGTATTATTATAATTAAACCCAAATAATAACAATTGAATAAAATTCATAAACATTTAACACTTCACTGTATTTGCCTTTCAATTCAATTTGACTCTCAGTCTGCTGTCCATTAATATCGTTATGTTATACGTTTACAAAGTTTTGTCACATTTACAGTTATAAGTTATAACCCTTTTTAGAAACATTCAATGTTTATAATAATTATAATTATTATTCTATTATTTAAAAGTTGTAAGCCTATCAATTTTATAGTATAAAACTATTGATTTGTTTTAATATGACAACTACAATAATTAGAAATCGTGAATAGATATGTGATCTATGCAGAGTTTGTTTGGTTTATATAACTGTAGTTTACTGTACTATCAGACATTGGTCCCGTGAAACCATTGGACACTAAACATGAAGTAAATTTAATTTATAATTTAGAAAACTTGTCATCTCATGGCAAACATACCGTACATCCAATGCATAAAACATTTCATTTTTTGTAATTCAAATCAAATTCAATAAACAAATATATGAATTAATGAATAACTTTTTTATTTGCTTCAAGACATTTTCAATGAAATAATAATCGATTTTTATAACATTTCGTTTAAATAAATCGTAAATTTCAACAAATCTATTGATTAAATGACATTAAAATACAATTTCAATTTATAAAAATTTTGTAATTTTGTAATATTTATATGAAATTCTTGTGATGAATGACTAGTAATGAAAATCAAGTTTAATATGTGCTATAAATGACTTAATGTCTCAGAATTGGGACATCCGTTCAATTATTATAAAAAGAGTAAAATAGGTTTACAATGAAAATCAAATGTCGTAATGAGTTCTCCGTAAGAGTCGTTGCAATTGAAGTCTTAATACTTTTAGTACTTTAGGCACAAATCAACGCTTGTTTTCAATTTGATTTAATGGTCTATTAAGTGACAAATCATGACCAATACGTGCGAATCACATCTCGGATGACGGCTCGGCATATAGGGCACTGTCCCGGTCCTCGCCATTGCTTGACTGCACATTCATAACACATACACACGTGTCCGCACATATAGAGAACGCTGTTAATGGGCTGTTCGTAGCAGACATTGCACTCATTGCCGATTGCATTCAACGAGTCTATCAATATAATACACATTCAGTTAATAACATCATTTACATATCATAGTGATTCAGACATACCAGAGTTGCTACAGTTGTTGGTGTTATCCATTTTAGGAGAACTCGAGCCCATTCTAACAGTCAAACCATTGGTTTGTGTGGTAATGGGACGAGACAGTTGCTGGCTATTCCTCGAGTTCATCACTTGTGCAGAATTGCGAACATTTTCAGGCGTTTCGTTGTCTGAAGTGCCTATAAATGTAATTCAAAAATAATTGCCATTAATATCGGTCTCAGTATTACATTAATTAAAACACAAATAAAACAATAATTACCCAAAACTTTCACTTTAATAGTACTGCCGTAGAGGTCAAAGAAAGGCCACATGCGTTGTGTGGAGTCCACGTGCATAAGAGTCTGGACGGGCTGTCTATTCTTAGTCATCTGGACCTCACCATTCTCTGTGATCTTAAAGGCCAACTCATCGCCGGCTTGCGGTGCGTTCGCCACGTCTTTAATGACAACCCAATACTCAGATCTATCCAACAGTTGGTGCGGATCTTCAGGTAAATCATTGCTATTAACAGTTGATGGATCACAAGTGGTCAGTCCAAAGGCCAGACTTCCGGCGTAGAGTTCATCGGTTTGTAAAACTTGAAGCACAAGCTTTTGACCCAAACGTAACGGTCGCTCAGAAAAGACATATCCCTGACAGTAGTGACTGTTATTCCGTTCGGCAATACATCTGTTTGTAAAATAATATAATCATTAGTTTGTTGTATAGAAATGAATGCATTCGTGTACTGACCTATCATTAGAGAGTCTAATATTGCATCCCTTAGTCTTATGGAATGGTAAGGACTGGAAGTTGGCATCCCTATAGACCTGAGGCAGTGGTTCCCGGTTTTCTCGGTTTATGTCAATCGTTGAAAGACTCGGAATAATATTCTCGACTTCGAAGCTATTGCGCCGACAGTTAACCTGTTGTCTGGGGTCTACCGATTCAATTTCAACTGTATTTCCGTAAATGTCAATCAATGCCCAAAGGGGACAGTTAGTCGATACGCCACTGAAGAATACGCCGCGCTCTTCACCGTTGATGCCGTAGTGGACGTCTCCCGTTTCAGACACGTAGAAAAATAGTACATAATCTCTGACCGCAAATCTCTCGCCCAAAGCTTTGGCCCAATTGCCGGGTTTGTTAGTCAACTCGGGACAGGCGTACTTGGGAAGGGAGGACCGGTAGTTGATGGGGTCGTTGGCTGTGAAGCCGAAACGAATAGCTCCGCTCCAACTCTGCGAGATTTCGGTGAATTTAATGCAAACCCTTTCGTTTACACGAATCGGACGATTGCTGAAACAAATGCCTTTACAAAAGCTGTCGTTCCGGTGCGCGACTGTCGAGTCGGACGACAGCCGTATGTTTTCGCCATGAATTGAGTGAAACAGAATTGGCGGCAAATTATTGGTTCCAGCGTTAGGTTGTCGCCGAAGTTTCGGTGAACACGCTATCAATCAAAACAAAGGATTCACATTAGGATTCATTCAATATATTATAGTCTATCATTCAAATCAAACATACGGCCGATTGAATTCATTTTTAAATTTGATAAAATTTAATTCAATAAAATTAACAAATAAAACTCCAATTAAAATAAAATAGCATTAATCGCAATTTACGATTCGTAAAACAAATATTAAATGAATAAAACTATATTTCATTCAAGTGTCAGCTACTAAAACATAAGTGAATATGAATACAATTTGATGCCAAGTCAAATGTATCAAACTTTAATGACTATCCAATGTCTATGAGTGAATTCTTATCAGTAATAATGATTTGTGTTTTGTGTATAGTATTACAAAAGTTCTTTACATTGAGAAAGCATTTCAAATTGAATATCTAATTTTTATGAATATATTATTTTGTATATCTAATTCATATTTTGCAATATTGTACTGTATATTGTCATTTACTATAGAGTTAACAGCATTTCCAATGTCAAGATTATACAGTAGTTGTATTACAAATAATGATAAAATTCATCTATTTCTTTTTTTGTATTTGCTTTGAGTCATAAGTATTTTAATAATATTAATGAAGTCTCTGAGAAACCCTTTATTTTCATATTGCTTACTACAAAAGCAAACAAATTCAAGATCACAATTTGGAAAATATTTTAACTAAACTTTTACAATGAATATTAAATGTAAAAACCATTAAATTGAGCAAAGAATATGCATGAATCAATTGTACTCAAATCTCATATAAATATTGTAGTAAGAATTAGTGGCTATAATGATGTAAAGTATAGGACAAAACACATTGAATCTTCAGTATTTATTAATAACTTGTAAGTCATTTCCATTATATGTATTGAAACTGAATTTCGTCTACAATTTCTTTAATTTCTTAAACTTCTCTCTTCTCTAAAAATATTTAAAACGATTGACAGTTATATAACTGAAAACAAACTGAAATTATTTTAGGGTTTGAGGCGAGGGTTCGCTCCTTTCAGTGAGACGACAGGAAACTATTAAAAATGTAGAGAGAGAGAGAGAGAGAGAGCTTAATGTATAAGCAATAGAGGAAATCCGTAAATAACAGAAAACTATATTCATTGAACGATTTTTAAAGATTAAACGTTAACTTAACAATTGACAAAATATTGAATAACAAATAAAACCAAAAACATGGAAAGTATGGAAATAAAGACAAAAAATATAAGAAAATTAGTGGATATTTGTATTTCGAGAAATAAGAGAAGTGTTAGAATTTCAATTACTTAAACAATTTGATACAAATACTGTATAATATATTATAATATGATACATCATATCAAATGGAGTACAGAATTGTATACTAATTCAGTAATACACTTGACATTACAGGACGAAACGATTATCATTCAGTTTTTAAGATGAAAATGATAAATACGATAAATTTTAATTTAAATAAATTTATAGAAATAATGTGAAACAAAACAATGCAAACAATTCATACCAATTCTCCTAATCTTTTTCAAGATTTTCATGTTTTGATTGGAAATAAGACCACAAATATATGAGAGAATATCACAAAATGTTTATAAGGACTGAATAGTTGTTGACTTAGTGTTGTGTCCTTCAGTAATGGTAAGTATACTGTAAGTCACAGTAAGTGATGGTGAGATAGTGAGACAAATTGGTGGTGAGAAAGTGGGTGCACCCAAGCAATAGAGCACTGCTCTGGCAAATATATGTAAGCGGAAGTCCCACACCCCTCACCGTATATTTAGTTATTCAGTTGTTTAGCAAACGCTCACACAATTCAATTGACTATTGGGGAACGGGAGGGACGGATCAGATGGTTAAAAAGGACCGGAAGCTCGTCAATAAGGATGCGAAGGGAGTCGTCCACATCCTCGGCGTTGTTGCCGATCCACTTCAAGTGATTCCACTGTTTCTATGAGTCTCTGTCCAAATGGTATGAATTCAAATGAGATCACACTCTCAGAATCCATACAAAACACATCATATGAATGACAAAAATATGACAATTAATGCAATTGTTTGGACACGAAATTTAATAATAAGTCAAAGAATGACTTTATTTCACAAAACAATAGCTCTGTTCCGGGACTATACCACAAACACAATGCTTATAAAGTTGTGTCAATCAATACAATATTAATTACAACTTATGGTAAACTGATATCACTTTGCAATGGATTCTTAAGGTAACGAATCGATAGCGAGAGTCGACACCAAATATAGCGACTTCTCTCTCACAGAGTTTCTCAACGAATGCTAAACAGACTCTCAGAATACAAATGCTGTGAATGAATGGGAATCGAGTCGACGACGAGTGCCCACACCTGCGATGGGCCGTCCTTTCCATACAAACGGCTAATGCTTTGCATTGTTAAGGGGTTTTCATATCTGGTCAGTAACCTTCGTTTGAAAATGTGTTTGTTAACGTGGCTTTTAAATCACTATTATGAGTTTTGTTAACATAACATAAAAGCGTTTATTAAAATTATGTTTAGAAAATTACAAAACTTATTTATTTCGAAAATGTATTATTTATCGAGTCTTTAATGAATGAAATGACAAATTGATATTCAAATAAATGTCATTATATATCACAAACAGTGACAGTCAAGTGATGAGAAAACTACAGTACTGTTCCGAATACTATAAATTTTGAAAATTTGCTAAAATATGACATTAATATAAAAATTACTAGGGTATATTGGGGCATACATGTTGTGGAAGTAGTTTATACGAGTTTATCGTTAGTTTTGTTTTTGAAATGCAATAATAATATGGAAATGATTTGATATGAGAGCAGATGATGCAAAGGGCCGACATCTGGATCGGTGTAGTGATACAGTAGGACCGATGCCTGTGGGTCGACCGTATTGTTAGTTAGAGTAAGTGGAGTAATGTTAGCCATAATTCAATTGATAGAGGAAAACATCTGTTCCGTTCCCTCCCTTGCCTTCCCTCAAGAAAACACACACTAATGAAAGGAAAGGCAGACGTGAGGCGCGTGTCGTCCACGCGATGCAAACCATTAATACCTGAAACTCTGCACTAAACTGAAAGCGGTTTCAAAGCAGACATTTGGCCCTTTGTCTGAAGCGTGCCTTTCAAGGGCTAACACGTGCCACACGTCCACTCCAGACACCATTTGGCATATACTCTATAATACACAGCAAATACTCATACAAACATACATTGAATACTAAATTGAGCTCAACTTCAAGTCTCCCCATCTCCTCATCCGGACATGTATTTCCTGTCAACCATTCGACACAATGTAATGAATTCTAACTCNTAATACACAGCAAATACTCATACAAACATACATTGAATACTAAATTGAGCTCAACTTCAAGTCTCCCCATCTCCTCATCCGGACATGTATTTCCTGTCAACCATTCGACACAATGTAATGAATTCTAACTCTAAACACATCTAAGAATAGTTCACATCCCATACGGTATACCCCATACACCCTATGCCTTATAATTGCTGTATTTGTGCCTCAAATGCAAACACTTCTTCAAATATTAGCCTATAAACGACACAACCATTTGTGGCCCGATATATAAGACACACGACGAGATAGATACTCTTTATTACTGTATGTGTGAGTGAGTGAGTGAGAGAGAGACAGAGAGAGAGAGAGAGAGAGAGAGAGAGAGGGAGAGAGAGAGACAGAGAGAGACAGAAGGATGATAAGAATTTGAGGGTATTTAAAACAATACTCAATTTAATAAAAGGTTAAAACAAATTGGTTTTACTCTGGCTTAGCCCAAAGGGGTATAGATATGGCAATATTAATTTATAGCACATTATTCTATACTATTTTGTGAGTTATTATCACTCATTAAATACGGCGAATGGCCGGACACTTCTTCGGGGGACCATAAGTTTGTCCTTCAGATGACCATAAGATTGTTAATTGAAGGATCATTTATAGTATAAATTTTAAACGTTTTATATAAATTAGTTAAAAAATAATATAATGTAAATGAATGTAAGTTATAACTTTGATTATGGATCAATATTTCTATGCAATAATGGGTTTAAAATGAACGAAACTTTTGTGGGAATACGATAAAACTGATTCTCCCTCTAAGTTTGTGCTCATTTATTAACTATAGTATTAGTCTTAATACAAAATTGTCTAAAATAACAATCAAATGTCAAGTCTTTCAATAGTTACAGTATCAATTATATAATCATATTTTCTATAGAAAATAAACACTTATTTGATGATCATGAAATAAAGTAACGCAAGTTATTTCATATGAAATGTTAATCTTTGATATTTTCTCAAAGTTTCATAGTTTTCAAACACTTCTCAAGTAGGCTGTTGTGAATGAACATTGAGTTGCAATATTTGTCATTACAAATTGAACAGGGTCAACGCCATTCAAGTTTGATATATATTTAGGTTTGCACTATAAGTGGGTCTTATTTGGTGGTCATTATGGATGGATTGGGAGGAAGGGTAGGGAACGGATGATTGTAGGCATAAGATCACCACTACTGCTGTTATAATCATTGATAACTTTAAATGCATTTACTATTTGTAAGCTTAACTTATATTTCCATTATATTATGGACAGTAATTACTAGTCTTTAGACAAATTAAAATAATACAAATAAATGAAGTGAATGTCAATGAATAGTAATGCAATGAATATGACTTACGATTGTGATTGTGGTTATGGTTTGCACTCAAATCTGCGCCCATTTTATCACTTCATTTCAATTCAAATCACTTGTGTTTACAAATAATATGCTTGTAATTCAATTACAAGTCTATATATTCACGATAATTAGTTATATTAGTGTACAAATGCTAACAACACATGCTTTCATATATAAACGGCCAATAAATATAGCTAACCATTTCACATTGGTAGTAAACAATTAATTGTATTAATTAAATAATAATTAATACAATTAACTATAATAATAATAATAATAATAATAATAATAATAATCGTCTATCAAATGAGTTATGCATTGAATAACACGTAAACAAACCATTGGTTAACATATGCAGTGATGCCATCTGTGCTACACTTATATCACACGACTGGTCACCAAATGTCACATAACTTTCACATGAATTCACTTCATTTAGTCCATGATTTAGCTTATTATCAAGTTTTTATTATACCATTTAAACACAGTGCTTGCTCATTTATAAATCAATTAATAGTTTTGACAATTAGTTTGCGATAAAGTGGTGTAAAACAAGTGATGAGATGACTATAAAAGTGTTGACTTTCAATGTCAATGAAACAAACGCTGAGTTTGTTATGAAACAAATGATTGTGTGTTTGGCTTAACAGTTGTTTGTATCGATAATACAATACAAACCAATGTTTAGTTTGCATTTTGATTGCATCAATACATTGTGATTACTTGATAACATGTGGTTTTTAGTCATTTTGAGTTGGTTTGCATTATTAGGTATTTATAAACATATTAATAATTATGATTTACTAATGAATGTGTCATTGAAATGATTGTCATATTCAGTGCAACTCTTTTTGGTGGTCCTGTCTGTCGGTAAGCATTGATCCATTGATTCCCACATTCATTGATATATGTATTGATTGGTGATGTCATGTCTTAGCGGCCGGACTCTACTATTTGGCTGAATTGGTCGAAGAGTTTAGTGTCATATCTGCTAAAGTCATCAAATCTATGATTTTGGTATTCAATTCATTTGATTGTGTTTTGTTGGCAATAATTCTCACGTGATTTCTACCTTGATTACAGATAACGCTATTTATATATTTATGTTTATTCCTATTCGAAGAATTGCCCAATTCTTTGATTATCACCGGAATAACCAGTCATTGCATTCATCTGTTAATTATGAGATCTTTTCCTTATTTTGATTTGACGTCAATTCCCTTCATTACAGCCATCAGTAAATGATTATCTATTTTATTGATTCACTTATTCATTGTTTGTTTTAATGCCTATTCAGTCCTATTACTGGTTAACCATTACTTCGCGTTTTCATATTTCTCGTCCGTTTATTACCCATTCACTCAAGTATTGACACTATATTTACCGGTTTTGCCGGTTTAACCCATTATCTCGATTTATCTCTTATTATCTTCTATGCCAACAGGTCTTAGCCTTCTTCACCATCTGCTTATGGCTCATCCCTTTCGTGAGTCAATCATTCATTACTTTATTACCGTAAATCTCTTATTTGTTTAATTCATTTGATTTACATTTAAGGCATTCTTCATATCATTATCGGCTAATGAGAACGTATTGCCCACTATTGCTGAAACCAAACCATTACTTTCCGGTCTCTTTCACTCATATTTTATAATAATTTTAATTTATATATATTTTTGCATTTCAGACGAAAGTGATGTCGTTTCACATTATTTCTCCCGAAGAGGCAAAAGATATGGTTTGCTATCGTTTTTCAATTATGCAAAGGACAGCCTTTTGCCTCAAAGAGTTAAAAAGTCTTTTTAGATTTATATTCCATGTTTAGATTAATTAATTATATATAATTAAATAAATTGTTTATAATTTTGTATGTTTAATCAATTTATATTCATTTGTATGGCAATACTCCGGACATTCACGCTATTACCCTACTCATCTTTGTTGAGTCTAAAGAATTCCATTTGAGTTCAATATTTACCGGCAGAATCTAATTGTGACCTTGCTTACAACTTCTAAAAGTTTGTAAAATATGTCTACCGGTAGTATGAAACTATTCTACAGACTATGTAGATGTGTCATACTTACCAAGATTTTCAAATAGACCAAATTCCGTAACATTTTAGAATATTCTTGTATTATTCTATAAAGAGATTTTACCAGATTCTATGAAGTGTAATCAGAATTTGGATTGCACCATAACTGTTTTGTTTGATTAATCTCATAATTCTACACTGGATAGTAGAGTCTACAGTACATAATATGCCCAATATACTGTTTACTCAGACATTAAATAATTGAATACGGTACTGTAATATTGAAATTGTAAAAAACGTACTTTTGATAATATTCTGGTTAAGCGTTAATTTTCAATAAAAAATATCCACAAATATACAGTACGTGATAACTACCTACGGTAAGATTCTTATTGCGGTAATATATACTGGACTTTAGATTAATTTATATCTAGATGGTTTAGATTCTCAACTTTAGAATCGAAGTTCCATGTTAAACATACATTTTGAATATTTTTATTTTGGGTTATGTAATCTCAAGATAACCAGTATGGATTATCGGGAGGTTGTCATATAAGCCATTTGTAACTTAATGATAAGTTTTGGACAGATGTGAAGGGATAATGAGTATATTTGAGGCCTAACTGCAGTCCAAACAGTCAAGTGATGAATACATTTATTGTGTGGGAAAGCAGTGAAAACTTGGAACCAATGATAGACTTCCTCTCAAACAAGTTTCACTGCTTTAAGACATCACTTGAAGGGGAAACCAATGATCCCTTCATTTGGCACTTCTTTTTACTCAACACTTCGTTTGTTTTGGTTTTTGCCCATAAATTCAATTCATTTTTCTAATCATTTGATTACAATTACAAGAAAAATAATTACAAGAAATATGTGAACCATAAAAGCTTAGATCAATTGTGCGTTCATAATGGCACTAATAAGCGGAGGAATGATAAAGTTATTATCACTCATCTGTTCCGTGATCTCCGGAATGCTGTTTGCATTTGTTTGGCGTAATTACGAGCAAACAGTGATTGAAGTACAGAGTCTTCACAATCATATTTCCGGTCACTTAAAGGACACGCATTACGACCAGTGGTCGCAACAGTACTCCATTCAAAGACATCCTATTTCTCAAGAGTTTAAAAGTTTTGAAATGTTTGGCAAGAAATCCGATATAATATTGGAATCGGAATACCTGTCCACAAGAGTGCGAGTCCTGTGTCTAGTATTAAGCAAATCGCGAAAGTCATCGCAAGCGGTGCGCCTCACGTGGGCTAACCATTGCAATCACGTGCTGTTCTTTGGGCCCTTTTCTGACCACAAAATCCCTGTCATTAAGTACCCGCCGGCGACCAGTCACTCGTCTTTCTGTCACTCATTCATCACTTCAATGAATGAGTTTTCGGATCAATTTGATTGGCTGTTCATAGCTTACGACGAAACCTATGCCATCATTGAAAACCTTCGCCATTACGTCGCGCCCCTCAACGCGTCGGGTCTTTACTACTTGGGTCGGGCGGTCAAGCATTACTTCACCGGTATCTACAACGCGGCCGACTCTGGCATTGTGTTAAGTCGAGGCGCCTCTCAAATCATCAAAAATGTATTTTCCAACCAAAGTGTTTGTGATCTAAACCATATCCAAGGCATTGGAACTGTTTCTCGAAATTTCGAGATATCATTGGCACTCATATTAGGCCGCTTTGGATGCAATGCTGTGGACACTCGTGACTCCCAAAACAGGGGACGTTTTCATTCATTTCCACCCGAAAAGCAATTAATTCCGGGAATGATATCGATATTCAACTCTTATTGGAGAAGTAGTGTATTTCTTGCACCCGAAGGCAATCAGTGTTGCAGTGATTCGACCATTACTTTCAATGGTATTCTTCCTGCGGCCATGTATTTGACGGAATACCTTCTCTATCACATGTCTATATTCACTAATAGTCCCCTCGGACTCGGCAATAAACCCCCGCCTTATAGCTCCTATAAAGTGAGCTCTGATTTGGATAAAAATATACTTGATCAATTTGATTCCATAGAAATGGGAACGCCTTTAATCCATGCGATCGACAAAAATAAACATAAAGCTTACAAAAACAAAAAATCTAAAAAATTTAAATCAATTTCTAATTTTTTAAATGACTTTTTTGGAAGTTAGAATATTTTAATTAATATTAAAAAAATTGCTTTAATAATAAAATATGGTCTAATTTTACAATATTTAATTTTGTATTCATGTATTGTATATTCATTGACGACAATTCATTATTTGTTTTCAACTACTAATTAGAGGTAACGGCAGTAATAAGATCGCCGCAACTGATGAGTCCCTCCTTTTCTGGACCCAAATTAATGCCAAATAAAGGAGAGGTTCCGTAAAATTTCCTAACTTTGTCTCGCGATAAACGATATCTAAAAGAATTTATATTACAGTAAATGTTATTAGAAAATATAAATATTTCGTAAAGAATTTGGTCTATTATTTCAAATTAAGACTTTTGATCAAATATTTAACGAAATCGTGATAAAATAATTAGATTTTGAAAAATTTAAACTCAAACTTCTAATTAGAAAATTAATTTAGAACAATATAAATTGTAATTTTAAAAGTACCTAGGTTTATCATTTGTATTTTTATACTATTGTAATTTATTCTATAAAAATCAAAGTAACTTGGAATCCACATTAGTTTTAATTAGAAAATTAATTTAGAACAATATAAATTGTAATTTTAAAAGTACCTAGGTTTATCATTTGTATTTTTATACTATTGTAATTTATTCTATAAAAATCAAAGTAACTTGGAATCCACATTAGTTTTTAAAACATTATCGGCACTAGTTTTATAGCAACTTTACACTAAAGAATCGTAATTTCATAAAACTTTGTTTGCATTTATAAAATCAAATATAAAAAATATATCGTTTTAAAAATAATATTATCTAGAATAGTGCAATGGGACTAGTGATGCCCGGCCACTAATCTCGGGTAACACTGTACCAATAGTTAAAATTTTAGGGAAAATTTTTAAAGATAATATTTATATATTAATTATTTTCGTTAAATTATACTTACGTTCTCAATGTGTTGAGGGGCTCGGACCCCATTTTAATACCGGTGTCGGGATTTATTGTAGTCAATACACATCTGTCACACGGCTTCAAGAAAGTGAAGTCAATGTCTCTAATCTTAACGTACTTCCAGTTGTCCTCTTCAAAGGCCTCACAATCGGTGATCA